CTCTCTCTCTCCTTCTCTCAAGAATAGCATACATGCCGACCTTCCCCTCTGTCACACACGTCTCTCACTCCACAATTTCTCATCATCCTTCTCCCTCCATGCCATGCAGTGTGCCAAGCCGAAGCCTCTGTCAGCCACTCTTCACTAAAAAGTTCACAATCAGCGGCCACTCAGGCATTAACTCAGTGAAGAAAGCGTCAGGCGAGTCCCCTCTCACTTTCCTCACCTTTCAAACGAAGCTATGAATGTGTTTTGGAAGGCTGAAGACAGGAAATGTTTGTTGACCGTGGAAAGAGAGGAGAAAGAAATCACTCAGTGCTTCTTGCCAAGCAGTGGCAACACCAGACCTATTTTAGGGGACTTTAGCCCCACTAGAATTTCCTGTAGCCCCGCTAAATAATTCATTCTGCCTTTTCTGGCTGATTTATAATGCAAAAAATACGATACGGGCTCCAGAATTACAGTACTCATGAAAAGGGCTGAGCACACTGTGTACACTGGTGAAACCAACCACAAACTTGCAACTGTGCATTCAGCCATAAAAAATAAAAGAATGGGTATGATGAAACATGGGACTTACACAAGCTAAATGACTTATCTATGTAAAATATTTCCACTGTGAAATTATGGGAGGCTCACAGGGTCAGGGCCTCAGCTGATTAATGCAGATACCATAGAACCATGAGACCGCCTGATTTTACACAGATACATATCTTGAAAGAACTTCAGCTGTATTGCCCTGTATTCTCAAAACTGAAAATATTAATCATCACTTGTGAATTTGGCAGGTGATTCACAGAATATTCAAAGTTGACAGTCTTGTTCAGGTTAAAAACAAAAGCGTTTTCTGGGTGTTATTTATTGTTAGATGCAACTGTATGAAGACTGACAAGTGTGATCATTGTACTGAGTGCGTTCATACTCCAGATGACAAGGAGAGCGGAGCAATAGCAGCAGCAGATAAGCTGCTGTATTTATGCAGTATGAGTATCGATTAGTTGTGTCAGGCAAAAAGACAATTCTCTTGTTTCTGTGGCTGCCAAAGTTGATTCCCGTTGGTTACCTCCGAGTGGTCTGACTGCAGATCCTCAGGGAGGGTTTGTGGGAAAAGGAGTGAAGTGACTGATGTAACTACACCCTGATGTGAGGAGTAATGTTGCACATATGATTCTTTACAGGTACAGGATTAAATGTCGTCTTTAGTTTATTCATAACAGGTCTGTAAAGTAGATAAAGCATTCAACTTTGTTACTGCATAATAAAGATGCATTATGAGTTTGGCACCTTTTAAAATGTATCAAGCAGATGACCCATGGACCCTCACCAATCTCATTAATCTAACTGAAATAAGCTGCTGCTTGTAAACGATTATATTAAATACCAGAAAACAAGGTTTGCAGTTGCAGTATGTTGTAATAACTTTCTACTCCAATATGTGAGTTAATAGAGTTAAACTCTTTTTTTAAACTGTGAGCGTATAAATCTCCCTTTATATGCTGATATTCATATTTTACACATGCATACTATTACTGTAGTTTTTTATGCTGATGACACCCAGTTATACATATTTGTATCTGTTAAATTGAAAAAAATACTGAGGTTTGCTAGTATTGAAGTTGTTGAAATTTGGAATACAATACAATAATGAAAAGCCAGAGTAACTTTCGGGAAACTCTTTGCATCTTTTGACAGGACGTGTAGAAGATTACGCTTTTTTTTTTTTTTTGACATCTAAGATGGTTTGCTACAAAACAGCCGTACATAGTTGTATGTAGCCATGTACAGAGTTTCTCTGGTACGACTGGCTTCAGTGTGAATTATTTCCATTTGACAAACCAAAAATGAATTCAGAAATGTTGCAGATCTTGCTCTTCAATTGTCTGCCGTCCTGCTAATCTGGGCCATGCTTTAGTTCTCTCTACCAGACAAAGAGACAGCTGGCAGTTGATAATCTGTTAGGACAAAAGTTTAAAAATGCATTCTTTTCTTAATCTCATTTTCCTTATCTCTTTTCATCTAATTCCTTCACTGCACCACGTAAATCCAATTTTGCTGCTTCCTTTGTCAGCATCAGAACGTATTGTTTTGCTTTGTAAATCAACTTCATCTTTTCTGCTGCCATAATTTGGATTCTGTTCTGTTGACTCATTGTTTATGTCTTTTGGAGGTTTGATCTGTTGAAAAGGAGGATAAGTAAATAGTGGAATAAGAAACAGGGAATCCTTATCCGCTGGCTAGTTATTCACAGACTGTTCAGCATATTTTCTAGTTGGTCATGTTATTGTTAGAACTTCACCTTGAAAAAGGATCGTCTGAATAATAAGTGCTTACTATAAATACTCATCTTTATTAAAAGTTATTTCTGACAGGGTCAGTTGAACATGGAAGCATAAAAACTCAGACTGTACCACAGTTAATTGTTTTGTGCAAAGGTTTTAATTCCTAACAAATTAAAGCCGCCATAATGGAATGTGATTTTCAGCCTGGTGTGATCCCTGTCACATTTGCCTGTTGCCCTGCATGAAAACACACTCTTTCTCCACCCTCAGGCTTTAGCTGCTTGGAATTTGAATTTTGTAATTGAAGAATTAATGGACTCAGTAATCAAGCAATTAATCAGTAGTTACTGTAATAGCCTGACATTCTGAAGTGAAGAGCTTTTTGTTGCAGATTAGTCTGTGTTGAACATATTGTATAGAAGCAGGAAGTACTGTAATCCCACAACAGCATTCTTGTAGCTGATTTATGCTATTCTGCTCAGGAACCAGCTGCCATGTTAATGCTGTTACACTGCAAATGTGAGGCTGCATTTTTATTGTTTTTATTTTTTTTGTTTTGTTTTGTTTTGTGCATGTGTCAGCACATTGCCCTATAATATTTCTCAAGTGTTTCCATAATTCCTCTTTGAGCTGTCCTATGTTCACTGATGTCTTCATTCGCACTATTTTACACTTCCACATTGAAAAAAAAAAGTACTCTGATCTATTTACAGCAATCATTTTCCTTTTAAAAAGTCAAACATTAAGTGTTCTAAACTCACAGTGTCACTGACAGCTGACTCAAAGACTACGAATAACAATGTTTATTTTTGATTACCTTATTTAAATATAAAATATAATAAATATTTATATAAAAATAATACTTTTTTTCATCAAACACATCCCAGGAGAACCATTGTCTCTCAGAGCTGATAAGATAACTTTGTTTATGATTAAAACTTATGTGTGTGACAGCCATAGTTCTCCTGGTGACAAACTTGGGGATTTACTGTGGCTATTTGTAGCTTAACTGCACCTGCGGCTCGGTAGATCAGGGCTCATCATTGTCATTTCACTACAGGTTGTAAATCTTGCACTTTCTGTGTGAAGTTCACATTTTTTTTCATTTTTCACATTGATTTTCTGAACGTGCTGCAGTTTCCACCCACATTCAAAAACATTCAGGTCAGAGAGATTAGAGACTGTAAATGTTTCTCTTTATCTGTGTTAGCTCCGTGACTCACTTCCGACCTGCCCAGTGTTTCCCTGTCTTTCACTGAGACAGTGAAAAAACAAATGTCTACCAATGAATTCTGACAACTTTTACATGAACAAAGCTCCGTCAAGACCGTCATAGCCCTATTCAAGTAGTAATGATATACCTGTCTCAGCATTCACATACCTCAATGACTACTGGTATTAGTTAGTAACCACCGCAGCTATAATCTAGTTGTAACAATAATTTGTCACTCAGGGGTGTCATATCCTAACACTAAAACTAAGATAATTAGCACATTTGTAGTGTAACACATTACCATCACCACCTTCATGAATTCAATTCCACAAGAGGCCTGCTTTTTGATATTTAATATTTAAAACTTTCTATAAATTTATTCAAGAAACAATTTTTTCTCAGCTGTCTCTATAAAACTCTTTTAATTTAATATGAAGCTCCATCTCAGTGGTATGATGTTCACTAGTAGTGGTTTATGACTGATAAAGATAGCTGTGTTGTCTTTATGAGTTCAATTATTGTAAAAGCATCATTGCTTTTAAGAGCGTTCCTATAAGGGCGTTTTGCTTTTCAAGGGAAATTTGTGAACGTTTTTTTTTTTTTTTTTAGTTCCACAAGTTGTTTTGTCACTTCCTGCTGTCTCATGTTTATTCTTTACTGTACAAATGGCACCGTCTTTAACCGTTAATCATTGTGCAACCATGAAAAGAAGAAGAACTTTGAGGAATACTCGGGTTAATGAGTAGATAACAAGATTTAAACATACACTGCATCGCCTAAATAAACATGCGTCATTCATTCACACATCGGTGCCATAGCGTCATCTCTCTTCCACACAGTAAGTCTTAATCAAAGAATACATTGTTTGTATTTCCACAGTTTCCTCTGGCATGACACATAAAGAGCTGCACAAACAAACTCCCCGGTCCCATTTTGGTTTGCTTGTTTGACATTCCAGTCGCATGCGTGCCTTTGAGGAACTGTGAGTTGTAATCAGACGTTTCCAGATATCTTGACTCGATCGAAGGACTGGTGGGTGGCGAGCTTCATTATTATTTATGCCCCCCCCCTCCGTCTCAAATATAAATCACACGACACAGCAGTCATAGCTGCTTTTCTTCCCTCCCTTCCTCCTCCTGCAGAGATACAGCACAGAGGTTGGCGGCTTCATTGTGATTTTTGTTTTATGTGACTGAGATTGAGAGTGCGAGGACAGTGCACCCAGAAACAGAATGGGATATAAGGCACTCCATCAAGGTTGCAAGTTTGTGTGTATGGGTGTGTGTATGGGTGTGTGTGTGATTATCAGTGGCTACAACAGATACGCAAGAATATTATTCAGTAAAAAGCTTCTGAGTTTTGGGGAATTTGAATTTGCTAGGTTTTCATAGTTTTATATACCATTGATTATATCAGTGATAATTTTTAGATTCTTAAACATGCATGAGACAAATGCATCCAATCATCTAATGTATCTCTTCTCTCTTTTGTGTCTCATTTCATTCCAGTGGGCCCAAATCCTCTTTCCAAAGAGTGGAAGACCAGTCAGCGAATTATGAATGTTAAACAAGATGACCTCCTCTCAGCAGCAGCAGATGATGCGAGGTCCTAGGTGGAACCGGGCCTTGTCCGACCCTTTGTTTGTGCTGCTTCTGGCCCTCCAGCTGCTGGTGGTGGCAGGGCTGGTACGTGCTCAGACGTGCCCCTCTGTCTGCTCCTGTAGTAACCAGTTCAGCAAAGTCATCTGCACCCGCCGAGGCCTGCGGGATGTCCCTGATGGCATCTCTACCAACACTCGCTACCTGAATCTGCAAGAGAATCTCATTCAGGTCATAAAGGTGGACAGCTTCAAGCACCTAAGACATCTGGAGATCCTGCAGCTGAGCAAAAACCACATACGCAAAATTGAGCTGGGGGCCTTCAATGGACTGGCCAGCCTCAATACCTTGGAGCTTTTTGATAACCGCCTCACCACCATCCCGAACGGCGCATTTGAGTACCTGTCCAAACTAAAGGAGCTTTGGTTGAGGAATAACCCCATAGAGAGTATTCCCTCCTATGCTTTCAACAGAGTGCCCTCATTACGGCGGTTGGACCTTGGGGAGCTCAAACGGCTCTCCTACATATCTGAGGGGGCCTTTGAAGGGCTGAGCAATCTGCGCTACTTAAATCTGGGAATGTGCAATCTGAAGGAAATTCCCAACCTAATTCCCCTGGTGAAGCTGGATGAACTGGAGATGTCGGGGAACCAGCTCACTGTCATCCGTCCTGGCTCTTTTAAAGGGCTCATCCATTTGCAAAAGCTATGGATGATGCATGCCCAGATCCAGACCATAGAAAGGAACTCTTTTGATGACCTGCAGTCACTAGTGGAGCTCAATCTAGCCCACAACAACCTTACCCTCTTGCCCCATGATCTCTTCACTCCTTTACATCACCTGGAGAGGGTGCACTTGCACCACAACCCGTGGAATTGTAACTGTGACATCCTCTGGCTAAGCTGGTGGCTTAAGGAGATGGTACCAGCAAACACCAGCTGCTGTGCCCGCTGCAGCTCACCTCCCCACCATAAGGGACGATACATTGGCGAGCTGGACCAGAACTACTTTCACTGTTATGCTCCTGTTATTGTGGAGCCTCCCGCAGACCTAAATGTGACAGAGGGAAGCGCTGCAGAGTTGAAATGCAGAGCCAGCTCTTTGACCTCAGTAAGCTGGATTACACCCAATGGTTCCATCATGACACACGGTGCGTACAAGGTCAGAATCTCTGTGCTGAATGACGGCACTCTGAACTTCACTAATGTTACCATGCAGGACACAGGCACATATACGTGTATGGTCAGTAATTCAGCAGGTAACACGACAGCATCTGCCACACTCAATGTGTCCTCTACAGAGAACAGCAGCTTCAGCTACTTCACCACAGTGACAGTGGAAACCATAGAAACGCCACATAATGAAGGCTTCACCACGACTGTGCAACAGAAGGTGGGCCCCACCCCCTCTTCTGGATCATGGGAGTCTGTTTCACCCACCTCTACAACTACCACCACATTTCGGACCCCGCTGTCCACCCGTACCACAGAGAAGACTTACACGATCCCTGTCACGGAGCTGGGCGGGGAGGGCTCACTAAACGGCCTGGATGAGGTGATGAAGACGACCAAGATCATCATCGGCTGCTTTGTTGCAATCACACTCATGGCAGCCGTCATGCTGATTATCTTCTACAAGATGCGCAAACAGCACCACCAGCAGAACCACCACGCACCCACACGTACTATTGAGATCATTAATGTGGACGAGGACTGTGTAACAGGAGGCCCGGGCATGGAGGGCCACCTGACTCTGCCTCCTCTTGAGCATGAGCACCTCAACCACTATAACACCTATAAGACTGCGTACAACCATGCCTCCACTATCAACTCCATACACAGCTCAGCGCACGAACCTTTGTTAATCCGGGCCAGCTCAAAAGACAATGTACAAGAGACCCAAATCTAATACTTTTTTTCTTTTTTTTCAAAATGAGACATAATAAAACTGATGGAATTACATAAAGACATTACTGACAGGACATTACTGAAAACTGGTTGTGAGGACTGTGGCTCAAACATGGAGAAATAGACTCATGTGTTTGGCAAATCATTGGCTGGTGATGTTAATTCAGTGACTTTGGGAATTAGGGTATGTCTACTGTTTCAAAAAGTGTCTTTACAAAACAGAAGTTATTTATTTAAGAAAAAAACTATTGTGGTTAAATCAAGAAAAACTGTATTCTGCAATTATTTTTTCAGCACTTAATTCATGTTTTTTTTTTCTTCCTCTCATTTCATGGGATTGGTTTACTAATATGCTTTCAAACTCTGTTTGAAGATCTGTCGAAGAAAAACTCTTGAAGCAAATTATTGTTTGTTCTTTTTTTTTTTTTCTTTTTTGGTAAACTGCAGACTTTGGACCAGATGAGATAGTAACCTCGTGTTCCCCATGTAACAAAGGAATCTAGAGCACATTAGTGAGTTTATCCAGCTGTGGATCAAGTGATGAAATCTTTGTGATCATCTGTAACTGGTATGAATTAAATGCACGTTCATTATTTTTTACAGTGATTGACAGAACTGTCAGTGATGAAATTTGTTCATGCTTCACTGTTTAATTAGATCTGTCACATACATATTAGGCATTCTGCTCTGTCATCAATAGAGGATCCTAAATGAAGGAAATATGCCCTGCGTTCTGCTATTGTAAAAGTCAAGGCTCACTATTAGAAGTACATTCTAGTTAAATTAAATTCTATAGATTGATTATGAAAGTCTCTGTGTTCCTAATATATATGCAAAATACAATTTTACCCCTGACCTCCACTTGTTTTGACCCAAAGCCCAAGCTTCTCAGAGACATGATTATTATACAGAGAAAGTCAATATTTGCATTAAGAGCAATACTGATCTCTGAAGGTCATGATACAGGAGCAGCATTAATGGGTACGTTAGAATTAACATAATCCAAATCAAAAGTCATGAAAAAAAGGAAGATGATCTTAAATTCTGGTAAAGGTCCGCTGCGCCCAAATGAAATGTTTCCAATGTAGGATGGTCTCACCTTTACCTTATGGTGCTTAGTTCTGCTGCATATGAAGATGATTGCTTTGAAGCCACCTTTTTCATGCTGGACCCCTTACCTCATCTGCATTACTGCAGGATAGAGTTCTGTCAGAAGCAGACTGATGAGCTGAAGAAAGAGCGTAAACCCTTTATACAGCTGTCTGAGCACATTGCCTGTCATCTGTGGGCCACATTTCCACATGGGCAGTGCCTGGCAGTCCCAGATTCACACCCTGCCCCCTGCCAACCATAGGACTTGGCCCTGAGCTAGAGGGCTTATGCTGCAAGAGGCTTTAGGGGTGAATGTGTGGGATCGGGCATCAACCAGATGTTTGGGTTGCACCTGTCTCTCTCCCCCTCCCTTAGCGACAACACAATTTCCATTTTAATTGATGTGCCCATGGGCTTTGGATGGACACAGCTCTGCAGGCGCCCATACCCTGGAAACCATTTCAAAGTCCTCACAATGAAAAATGGTGCCAGGCACCAGACACGTGGAGGTTAGACAGACATTTGTCACATGCTCCTGGTTCAGTTTTAACAAATAAGAGCAGCTTTTGTTCCCCTAACAGTGAAACATACAATAAAAGCTCAGGCTATTGTCATGCTTCATTCAGTTTTGTTTTTATAATACATTAAGGTGTCACAGTAAGGAATTATACAGAGGAGAATACCTCATAGAAACAACTGTTACATAAGATAGTGACATGTACTTTCTGTGGGGTCACCATGCACAGTGCTGTGCCTGTCCCTGAAAACTGGAAGTGGTTCTCCACACAAACAAGAAGTTGTGAGTTTCCAACGTTCATCCTCTATGGGCTTGAAAGGTTGGATTAATGGTGGTTACACTTTGATTCCAGTGGTGGACAGTGGTCAACATCTCTGCTCCATTTGTATGCTCACTTTTTTTCACGCTCATACATTTCACCAAAAATATTTCCACCTCAATACTAACAATACTGTCAAGCTGAGGAGCTTTGATGTCCATGGGTCCATGCTTATGACAGTGCCCTCTTCCTGCTTTTCCATTGGACAAAGTCATTCTAAATTATACTGCTTAGCCTCACTCTGAGCTACGTTTGACAAGAGTTCATAGTCGCACATCGGAAAATAAAGACAAATTAACAAAAACGCCATCAGGTAGTCATAAACCTTTAAAGCCTATATTTGGTGAGTACTTTCTACTCAAACAGACAGATTTCAACCTAACAGACAGAGAGGCTACTTCCCATAGTTTATTGTTTCATCATATTTCAAGTAGTAGTGAGAATTAATGAGGAACAGTACCAGCTCATCTTACAGCCCCATGTCTAGGATGTGAGAAGAGAATGAAATTAAACAACAAGATAATAATCTAAAGCCTTTTTCCCACAGGACTAGTATTACCTGGGGTCCTCCTGTGATATGTAATACAATAATTGCATAGATTATATATGTTAATAATCCATGTCTGCAAACTGTTCTCTGAAAAACTCTGCAGAAAATTACTTTCCATATCTCGCCTTATACAGAGATCGTTTCATAATATTAGTTCTATGTGCACTATTTTATTTTGGATTTTTTTTCTGACTCTTCTCCCACTTCCAGGGTAAGAATTATGGAGGCTGTAGTGGAAACTATCAATGGGAGCTTTGATACCTTTTGCAGTGCAAATTGTAGTGCTACTGTTTCTACTCTGCCTGGAAACCCATTGTATGTTTCAAAATAGTTTGATAATCAAGATCAGTGAATTTAAATGTAACACAAGACTTTATTTATTCACTTTGAATGTGCTGCGCACGACACAGATGTTTTTACCTTTACTTCCTAAATAACATGAGGTCCCCAGGTGATCTTAATCCAGACCCCAAGAGATAACTGATTCAACCATATCATGTTATTTGTTTTGTTTTTTTCTGTGGAGTTTGGCACATTTGTAAACCATAGAATGACCTGAATGTGAGTCATTTAGTATGTGTTTGAATTCCTAGTGGTGGGATGTGGATCACAATTCTACTCAGCTGACATAAGAGAGTGTAACCATCTTCCCCTTTTGCCTTTAGTTGGAGGTAAATCGTCTGAAAATTTAAATGGTAAATTTGTTGCATTTTAGTCGAGCTGTCTCATGTATGTAAGATATCTAAATATTTTTGGTCAATATTCTTTTTTTTCACATTCTTTTCTTTTTTTCTGAGAGGGAATGCTGTTCTAGTGGTAGATTTATATAAAAATACATTTTGAGAATAAAACAAAACAAAAACAAAAATTTTTAAATTTTGATTTTACATGTGCCAACAACCTGTTCTAAAAGTGAAAAAGAGAAACATGCTGTAAAAGAATAAGAGATTGATTTTCATGTAAGCATTCTTTCATGACCTTTAAAAGATATGGAGATCGATTATAGAGACCAGAGTTTGTAGTTCATACACAAAATATGGTTAAAAATAAACTATTGTTGTTTTTCTGTATTGTCTGATTCTTGTTTTCAGTTTAACAGGATAACATTGAACGACTCATCTAAAAATCAAAAAACCAAAGCTTTCTTTTCACCAACTTTCACACACTTTCGCCACCATTAATTATCTACAAAGCCGATATTTATGAAAGCCTTTTGAACCTTTAAATTATACTTTTACCTGACCATTAATTTTGCTACAAATATCATGACAAAATAATGACTGTTACTATTTTCATCATCGAAATTAAAATTAATTAAAAAAAAAAAAAACTTTTTTATATACCATTTCTTTTAATACATGGCTATCCTGCTTTAAAACAGCATCCATATGAAATGTAAATTCATTATAACAATGTAATCATAATGCCTTTTTAAGATGATTATAGCTGTACAATCGGTAGCATTGCTCCATGGAATCAGTATAAAACCAGAATCAGTTCAGCAAGCAGAATGAAATTACAGGCATTTGTCTTTGTAGCACTGCTGCAGGGACGAGCTGACATGCATAACTGTGCAGGACTTTACACGGCTGAATATACATAACACCACACACCAGCACATGCAGAACATTCACTGTAGTATTCTGTCATATTCTTAACTTATTAACCAATAAGTTAAAATGACTTGTATCTACATTAAACAGTGCTTTGACTGCTTTACAACTTTACAACGGAAGTGATAATGACAGTAATTAGTATTATACTTTGAGTATGTGTGTGCTGTCCATTAAGTTTTATTCAACGCTAAAAACAATTACTTGGACAATTACTTGAAGTGTTCATTAAATTAAAAAAAAAAGTATGTTGGGAAACAGAAAGAAATCAGGAATGAGTAATGATGTGGTATAAATAACACTGACAATAAAGTGAAACAACTTTTCACATGTAGACCTTTGGTTTGAGGATTTATTAGTAATGCATTCTGAATGTGTGTATCTATACATAGTTAAAATCATCACTGATCCCTTTAATCAATCTATAACTCTCTAACTCTAACTCAAACCACACATAATGACTTTATTCTTATGCATTTGTCATTGTCAAACTGCATATTGCTGTCTGTTGCTTATTATCCAGCAAAAGCCAGTCATTGTATTATTTTGTTGGCTTGTTGAGAGCTAATAAAACTGTAGAACATTGTGTGATTGGGATCTTATCCTGAGCAGATTTCAGCACAAGCTAAACAAGACGAGTGAACTTTCTCCATCATTAGCATTCATGAGCTACTGTTCCACTTGGTAATTAGCCAAATAAAATGAGATTGTGATCACGATGTGATCGAATCATATCACAAAGTACAAGCCAACAGTAAACATTTGGACCCGAGAGTAATTGCATCCCTTCTGGGCCAATCAGTAGCCAAGTAAACAATGGCTGTACAGTAGTGGTGCACTTGAGATTAGGCGTTTCAAGGGATCTTGATCAGTGAAACTGAAAGATGTGTGACAGTCAGCCAAGTAATGATAGTGAATCAATCGTCTGTTCCTCTGGATTTTATGGAGAGTCAATAAAAAATCAGGTTTGTACCAGCAGATCTTAGAAATTGACCATTTTTATCCTAGTGGTTGTATGTTTTTACACCAGTGGCATAAAGACGACTCTCTCTCTCTCCTCTTCGTGCTACAGGGAACAGACTAATATTATTACAATCATATTACATTGTAGACATGTGCAGCTTTGCTACTGAAGGATGTTG